GATCGCTGAGTCTCCACATATGCAGAATGCAAAATACATTTTTCATTTGTATTTTGGTGTGTTTAGTGATTCTGAATAGGGCCGTATAGTGGTTTATATGCAGTCCTTTGGCACGTCCCTGTGGTCTTGTTTGGTACGGCAGGTTGACTTGTGCTTATTTGTTAAAGTTACTTTATAATTGACCTTTAGGTACTTTTAAGTACTTTTAAGTTGTAATGAATGCCTGCAGTGACATTTTTGCAAAGTATGCACTGAATATTTAAATATCTTGAATTTGTTTTGTTAAAAAATTATTAAATGGAATTGAAAAGTAATAACATGAGAATGCAAAGGTTTTTGTGAATAGAAAAGGTTGGGGGGATGATGGGGGGGCTTGCGGTATTGATTCGGAGAGGAGGGGGACCTCGGAGTAAAAAAGGTTGAGAACCACTGCTCTAATTAAACCCCGCCATAATAAAACTCTACTGGCAGCTGAATGTTTTTGAGTTCACAAACTGTTGTACAACACCATCTACTGTTAATATTAGTTCCTGCATCATTCACAAGCAAAATGAAGCATATGCGCATGTGATATATACAAACACTCTTTCTTTTTCATGTATTTATTTGCATTCAAATATGATTCATATTGCTTTTTTTGCCCAGTCATGGATGTTATCCTCAAACAAGATTTAATGAAAGGCAACACAGACACTGTAAACTTGAGAAGCAATTGCAAAGACAGTTTGGGGTGTCTTCGGGTCCCGTAAAAATAAGAAAGAAAGAAAAACATAAGCATGGTACAAACACGAGTGAGCTGTAATGATAAAAACCCAAAAGAATTGCTCAGCTGACAGACACACTCACACATACACTTGATCATCATGCGCAAGCTAAACACATGTACATAGGGCCTACCTGGGCACGCTCTCCCTCACACACACAAAATTACCCACACATTTGCACTCACTTGCACACCCACGTGAAATTAAAAGTAAAAAGTGTGAAACCCTGGTTAAGTTGCATACATCCACATCTTGGTGTTGTAGAAAACGAAACTGAAAATGAATTGTGAAAGTGAAGTCAGATGAAAAGTGAAAAGCATGCCTAAATAAACAGCTCTAGCCCCGCCCACATCCACTCGAACCCTGCCTCAGCTCCGCCCCCTGCCCTGCATTAATATCAGCAACAAACCTAGAATACTAAACAAAATAGTGTACTCAATTCATCTCCCTTAATGATTTTAGCGAGGATATGCCACCCTCAGCGCGGGATTTTATTAACTGAGGCGTATTGACTGTTTCTTGAGGCGGCGAGATGGTCCAGTGAGGTAGAGCCAGATTTCGGTCCACAGGTTCTTAGCAGGTTTATAGGGTTTGAGTCTTCAGCTCGATGGGCTCCCCGCGGGTCTCCTGCTGGTTCTCGTCCTCTGAGGATCGGCTGCCCTTGAGAGTGGCTAGCCGCTCGGAGAGACCCCGCATACGGGGAAACAGCATGAAATCATACAGGATGGCACCCATAGCGCCACCAATCATAGGTCCCACCCAATACACCTGTCAGAAAAAGAGGGTCACTAAATACTTCATTCCTGTAGTGCGGGACAGTTTCAGTACTTTACTTTGCTTTTCTTACCCAGTGGTTGATGAAATTCCTTGTGATGACAGCAGGAGCGAAAGATCTAGCTGGGTTCATGCCAGCTCCAGTGTAGTACATCTGATTCAAAGACAAACAAGGTACATTTTTGGTGTACTGCACACTTAAAATACTCACAAATGTTTATTCTAATACTAAAATATTCATTCTCACCCCCATCAGGTGGCCCATGGTGATAGAGAAGCCAATAGACAGAGCGGCAGAACCCAGACGGCCGTTTCGTCTCTCATCTGTCACGGCGAAAACGCAAACCACCAACTGCAAGGTGAGAAACACCTCCACTGTAGTCGCCATGCCGAGACTCATGCCGGGCTGCAGCTGCAGAGACATAAAGTACAAAAAAATGTATTAAAAAAAGATTTAAAAGCCTGCAACATAGATATACAGTTCTGTAAGGGCCTATTAGCGCAGTACTGTGTACTTCTATAGTACTATATACAGCATGAATACAATAAATATGATTTCAATACATACAGTTTATTAGAACACATTTGAAGAGTTCAGATGCAAAAGCGTCTAAGTGCAATTAAAGTGAAATAACTGAACATAAATATAGGAGCCTGATAAAAATGCCCATTTTAGAAAAAAATTTCAGATGGCATTTAGAGGCTTTTGCATCTGAACTCTTCATTTGGACTCTTGTAAACTCACAATTAAATTAAATTTAATTTAAAATATATAAAATATATTTTATTACAAAATAAAATAAAATTCTTGTTTTTTGCGTCACTCTTACCGTGTTAAGTGCCAGTGTGCCTCTCATGTTGTTGGGTGTAACTCCATAAAGGGCCGCGGCTCCTGCCATGGCCCCCAGGCACTGAGCGCAGATGTAGAAGAAAGCTCGGAAAAAGGACATCTGAGAGCCGACTAAGTAGGCGAAGGTGACGGCTGGGTTGATGTGTCCTCCACTGATGTGGCCGATGGATTGGATGAACGTGGCAGCAGCAAAACCGAAGCAGAGGGCGGTGTGGAAGACATGGTACGGCCCGGAGGTCCAGCGTAGCGCTGCGCCCATCCCGAAGAACACGAAGAACATGGTGCCGAAAAACTCAGCGAACACTGCCCGCCAGAACATCATAGAGCGGAACTCCCACATCGTGATTTATGAGATCCAGCTAAAATAAAAAACCGAAGCTTATTTAGAGTTAGCAAAAGTGGCTAAAGGAAGTGTCTTTGAGGAAAAAAATAAAAGTGTCCTTTTTAGCAAGTACACAAAAAGTTAAATCCTTAACAAGTTGATCTGAAGCTGCCGCAAAAAAACAAAACAATCGAGGGCGAAAAGAGTGATGAAAGTCCGCCTAATGGAACTAGCTGTTAGCTAAGGCCGTGTGGGAAGCCGCGAGTAAATGGTCACACATGTAGCCGCACTCAGGTCGTCTCTGCCAGCGTTGTTTCTCTTCGCCTGCACAACACCCAGACTGCTAAAGAAACATGAGGTGTGTGTGGTTGTGTGTGTACACGCGCAGAAGATTTGGAGGGTTTTGTCAGAGAGACCTGAACATCGATGCTAAAGGCTAAATCTACAGGGCTAATTCTATATGAGCGACACAGAAGAGGTTATGGAGCATATCCTGCCCACACCTAGTAGAGCTGGTCTGACGGACCACAAAGGGGCCATAGGGGGCATTTATAATGGCCTCGGGGCCCAGCGTGACGACATAATCCCCCCCGAGAGGCAGAAGCTAAAGGGGGCATCCCATATCAAGCACACGCCACTCACTTCTCTCTGCATTAAACTCATAGAGAGTGAGATTAAGACAGGAACACCAGGGCTCAAAGTGAAGGGGACGTATATCTTTGATGCCTATAGTGGCCTAAAGTACAAAACAGATCCACCAATCAGATTTTAGTGAGGTCATGAAATGTCTCATTAAAATTTGCTTTCGAAACGCTTATAAAAATCAGGAAAGTTGTGGATTTTTATCAGAACTTCATGTGGATTTAGGTTTGATGGGCGAGTTAGTGCTGACCTGAACTCACACACAGGCAGAACACACACACAACGCGCATCCTCAGAATAATGCCACGCATCTGCACACACACAATGTGCGTCCGATCCGGCGGCTCAAGAGAGGCCCTGCGCTGGCAGATATGATCCAGCAGTGCTCAGATACACGCAGAGAAATCCCTGAGCACAGGAAAGACATTGCTGCTCAGAGCATGAAGCTAACATGAGAAAACATCCTCTAGCTGTTTCGTGGGTTTGAGCTGCTATCTATCTATCTATCTATCTATCGTTCTATCTATCGATCTATCTATCTATCGTTCTATCTATC